TGGCAGGCTGTCACCTGTGTTTTCCCCTGTGTACCTTCCCTTTCAGGCACTCACCAGAGAATGACACAGTGCACTTGTTACGCTTGTGTTACGCTGCTAATCTGTGTTGCCTTGCTGAGTAATGCTTTTTTATAGGTGTGCTCCCTTTAGGGGATAATTCTGCAAAAAGGAGCTTTCCAGATATTGTCATGTGTCTGTTCAGCTTCTAGCTAAAGGGGCACTGTGAGGGAAAATAATCGTACTAAGAACATTCATATCCTTACTAAATGTACTGTAATGCAATAACTTGAATTGTTCCTTTCTTAGTTTTGTTACAATAGTCGTGTGACACAATGAATGAACTGCAATATCACTTTAGCCTTTCACTTTTTAGGCAGTTGATATTAGAAGCTGCCCGTGTTTCGTGCAGATTCACACGACATAAATGAGATAGCTGAATAATTCTTTAACAGTTACTGCTTCATAGCTGCCGCTTCTTTAACTTTAGTTTAACCAGGATGTAAATCGATGCAATGAGTAAGACATCAGTGCTTGGGGAATGAGCACCAGCTTACTGATGCACAAAATACTCATTGGTCATATAATAATGATAGTGGACCTGCCTGTCCTTTTCAACAATTGAACAAAATTTGTTCAAGGATCAATTAAAGACAGTCCAATTGTATTGAGTTGCTATTTTGGATTCTTTTCCTCCTAAACTAAATCTTTCTCTTTTACATTGCATTCCAAAATACTGAAACTTGAACCTTTAGTAGATATATCATGTAGTGACAGATATTGGAGGGTGTGGGGTGAGATTGTTATAAGGTGGTGTTTGGTTTTTTGGGTTTTTTTTTGAGGAAAGGAATGTGGTACACATAGCTTGGAAAGTGTTCAACTGTCATCATATGAATTCATATTCATACTGCTACAGGTGGTATTCTTCCACACTTGTGAAGCCAGATTGCCATAGGAAAATGAATATATTTTAACCAAAGCTCAGCTTTGGCTTGTTTAACATCCCATTTATGATGCTCCATCCTCCATATCTAACTAAAGTTGAAGAATTTCCAAAATTTCTTTATTATGATACACAGATGGTTCAAATGGATGTCTCATATAGTCTTTATTCTTTTGTCTTTTGACACTAGTTTTTTTTTTTTTTCACACCAGTGTAAAGACCATGTAATACCATTCTGGATTCATTTAGCAGTCTTATATTTATGCTACATATACTTCAATAGGCCTAAATGCTCTCCAGCCTTTTAAAACTTGTTGGAGATAGCAGGTTTTGTTCTCTTCCAGGTGTTCAACTGTGCTTCAGAGAAGAGCATAAATGTCTGTGATAACCTGAAAAATGGAAAGGTAGTATTGTGCAGGAAGGAAAAACAACCAGCATGACACTGCTGTGTTCACTTTAAGTGAACCACATGAGGTGTAGGCTCTGTCAGGGCTACTCCTGCTTGCATATGTGCATACAGTTACAATTGATAGAGACCTGTGCCAGTTACCACTCAGATGAGCCAGCACAGTGAGACCTGGAGGAACTGCAACCCTTGATCCAGCTAGCCAGTTTAAGGTTCTGGGCAATGGTTTGACACTAGCAGGTAGTGATTTCACCTCAGATGCTCAGCATCTGTGTGGCATTCAGTGTCCACGTGCCAGTGGACCTCTCTTACCCACAGGGGTATATTCACATTGTGGCACAGGCTGCCCATCACATCTCTCAAGAGTAATATAACCATAAGCAGGTTTTACCCTTCTGTCACTTGTTGATCTGTGGCCTTTACTGAGTCTTGTTCCAGTCAGTTCTATCCCCCCTGGCTCACTGAACTCAATTCCTCACCCCTTGATTGGGGACGGTTGTGACAACACGTAGCTAACTGCTCCGTGGCATTTCCTGTGTGCTGCAGTTCCAGAAAGCACTGTGTGGACAAGAGGGAAAAATGTTTCACTGCAGAATGTTGAGATTTAATGGTGTTTATTGTTTTCTTCCCAGTTGTTCTGTCTGATAGAGTTTGGCTCCACATGTAGATTTTTAGGGTATGGGCAAGGTTAAGTGCAACTAACAGATCCAGCCAGTGGACACACCAGTTTGTGTCACAGTTCATACAGAAAGGGCCAGCAACTTCTGCTCAGAACAGCATCCATGTCCTCAGCAGCTATGGTGGTGTGCCCCAGGGAACTGGCCCCAGGTATATTGTTGGACTGACTGTGCTTGTCACAAACATCAGAGATCTCAACCCAGAGAGAGCTCAAGAAGGAGGATGCAGGTCTGCAGGTTTGGGGCTGCAGGGAATGCCTGTGGCGTCTTAGCAAGGCTGGGACAGCAGGAGAGAGTTTCCTTTCCCCTAGGAGGTTTGCAGTTATTAAGGCTCTGTGTCACCAAGTAAAGGAGCTGCAGGAGGATGTCAGCAGTCTGCACAGCATCAGAGATAATGAGAAAGAGATTGACCAGATCTCTTTCAACACTGCAACTTCAAGAGCCCAAACTACCAACTGTATTGCATACTGAAGGGAGGAGAGTCAGGCAGAATAAGTTTCTATCTGTTTGGGAAGTGGAGACTCCTGTGATGATGAAGGTTGGAAGATAATGGCTTCTGGCACGAGGAGCTGTGAAATAAAGCATCTGTGCCATCTGAGTTTGAGCCACACAGGAGCACCAGTAGGAAGAGGCGAGTGATAGTGATGAGAGACGCCCATCTGCCAGCTGGACTCATTCTGTATGGAAGTTTGCTGCTTGTTGGGGGCTTAGATTTGGGATGTTGTGGAAAGACTTGCAAAGCTTGTCCAGCCTGCAGACTATTGCCCTCTGCCCTCTTCCAGGTGAGCACCAGGGATACTGCCAGGGGGGACCTAGAAAGTCTCAAGTGTGACTGCATGGCCGTAGAGGCAATGATCAAGGGCATGAGAGCCCAGGTGTTTTTCTTTTCAGTCCTGCAGATGACAGTGGTAGATGGATCCAGCAGGTCAACAACTGTTTACACAGCTGATGATGGCCTGAGGGACTCTCTCTCTCAGGATCAAGGATTGCTAATTGTCTAAGTGGGGCAAAAGCGTCTTTGCCAGCAGACAGAACAACCTGCTAAGAAGAACTTTATAGTAAGAATGATGGGAGAGGGAGAAGACCACCAAAAATCAAGTGTAAAGTGGTGGACTGGATTGGCAAGCAAAGGCTCTGCTGTAATGTGAAAAAAAAGGATGCTGTAATCAGCAAAACAGGGCTGAACTGAGCTTGCTCCAAGTGTACACACACAAGTTAGGATATGCCTACAGGACGGTGCTGTGTGGAAAACTCTTGTTCCCTTTCTGGGAAGTCACTGTGACCAATTGCTTCTCTGAAGTACCTGTATGGCATGTTTGTGTTATACAAGGAGAGGCTGACAGAGCTGGGGTTGCTTACCCTCGATAAAGAAATGCTGAGGAGGGATCTTATGTATATAAAACCGTAAATGTCCAATGGGAGGGAGTAAAGAAGACAGAACTAGACATCACTCCGTGGTATTCAATAACAGAACAAGAGGTAACAGGCAACAGGGACAAGCTGAAATACATGAAATTCCATTTAAATGTAACAAGCACTGGGGCAGGTTGCCCAGAGAGTTTGTGGTCTCTCCATCCCTAGTGATTCTTAAAACCCCACTGGATGTGAGCCTGAGTGATCTCTCTGATTGAATGTGCTTTGAGCAGAGGGCTTGGACTAGATCACAGAATCACAGAATGTTAGGGGTTGGAAGGGACCCCTGGAGATCGAGTCCAACCCCCCTGCCAGAGCAGGACCATCTAGTCTAGGGCAAGTCACACAGGAACGCATCCAGTCGGGTCTTAAAAGTCTCCAAGGAAGGAGACTCCAGAACCTCCCTGGGGAGCCTGTTCCAGTGCTCTGGAACCCTTACAGTAAAGAAGTTCCTCCTCATGCTGAGGTGGAACTGCCTGTGCTCCAGCTTGTATCCATTGCCCCTTGTCCTATCACAAGGTACAAATGAAAACAGGTTGCCCCTTTCTTTTTGACGCCCAGCCTTCATATATTTATACATGTTAATTAGATCCCCCCCCTAAGTCTTCTCTTCTCCAGACGAAAACCCCCAGGTCTCTCAGCCTCTCCTCATAGACCAGGTGTTCCAGTCCCCCAGTTATCCTCGTAGCCCTTCGCTGGACTCTCTCTCGAGTAGACCTCTCTCGAGTAGAGGTTGGAGATGACCTCTCAACATCAACAATCCTGTGATTTTAAGAACTTAACCTGATTCTAGATACCTGAGAGTCAGCCCAAATGAAAGTTGCCAGCTCAGTATTACATACTTATATCTCTGGAAGGGCTACTCAGAAACCTTTTGGTGGTGAAGTTGTTCTTGTTTTCTGGCTTTGCCAGAATCTGAAACTCGGTTGAAAATTGCAGTGACTAAGGGCAATTAGTGAGTAAGGCCAGTATGTTAGAGAATTTTTCTGATCTTTGACCTTATTTGTCTAATTATCAGTGTTAGTTCTGAGGCAATACAGTGGCAAGAAAATGAAATCTAAAACAGTTGAACTCCGTAGAACTCAGGGTTATGTATTTTGTTACTTGAAAAGTAGAAATACTTTCAGAAGCTGATGTAAGGATTTGTAAAGTGATGCTGCAGACATGCATACTGTAGATAGATCAAGTGCTTAATAATTTTGATTTTCCTGTATTGTGTATGTATGACTGTCTTGTTGAATTGAACATATGTAAAAATTCTAACTGAAGCTGTTGCAAAATATGGTTAGTTTTTGCTCTTCATTGTAATAATAGGACTTAATATAATATGAATTTGTTAAAGTTGACTGTTAGTGTTAGCTTGAGACTGGTAATTTCAAGTTGGCAGTCACGTAGGCTGTTACATTATACACCTAGATTCCGAAGTTCAGCATGCACACAGTTGGAAAATAAAACCAGTCTATTAAGCAGTACTGTATAATAAAGAAGAATTTTATAGAAGTATATCTCTGTATTTAAGTGATCTGCTAACTTCCCCTCAATTTTCCCTCTTCCTTCTCCGTAGAATGTGTATGTGAACATCAACCGCATCATGTCAGTGGCAAATCGCCTGGTGGAGTCGGGCCACTATGCTTCACAGCAAATAAAACAGATTGCAAGTCAGCTGGAGCAGGAACGGAAGGCGTTTGCTGCAGCCTTGGATGAACGTAGCACGTTACTGGATATGTCCTCCATCTTCCATCAGAAAGCTGAACAGGTTAGTGAATGGGGAGGGTGCCAACAGGAGTTTCTTTGCTGGAATGGTGAGTTGTCCTGTTTGATTTTTGACTTAGAAGGAAGTACAAGAACGTGATAGAAAAGGTCAGCAAGAAAGCCAGAGTATTCATTTCTGCCCATTTCAGCTGAACTTTTTGAGAACAAAAGCTTGTTCTCCTCAGGACAGCACACTGCCCCTGTATTCTCCACAAAATGCCTTGCCCATATCAATGCGAGATAAAACTTAGCCAGATTAGCTCTATGAATCAAAAGGAAGTGGATATAAATGCTTAACTATGTGAAGCTTCTAAGCTGAAAAAAGGAAGGGTAAAACCAGTATAGTCAGTATTGATACAGTGTGTTTTGTACACCTGGAAATCATAACTTGGTTTGTTGTCCTCAGCACTCCACCCCAATCAGTCCTTGAGTGTTCAAGGTTTAGCTTATTGTAATCACTTACAGCAAACTAAGTTGAACTGGCGTAAAAGTTGTGAAGTTAATTAACTGTCTTCTGAAGCTGAAATTGTAGTGGGAGATGTTTACTTAGTATCCCATAAGAGATTCCTCCTATATTAAACAAAAATTTTAGCTTTAGGCCTATACCAATTATTTTAATTAAGTCATTAACCATATGTAACTTCCAGAGAAGAGGTATATGTAGGGGAAATAGGAATAAATATCCCCAAGTTAGTAGTCTTGATGGTGAAAGCGTGTTTTTCTCTCAAGGGAATTGAGTTCTGAAGGAGTTGCTATGTGTGTGCTGTTCAGTCACCCATTGGTATTATAGACTGTCTGCTCTGTACATTTCTGGTGAATTTGGAGAGCAGAGGTGCTTGGATGGTTATGGCTCACTGAAGCTCTGGTGTACTCTATGACTGCTGTAGATATTTTTATTTCCACTTACCTTTCTAAATTGGATCCAAGAAAAAGTCTGATAAAACTTCAATTTGAAATAAATGAAGGAACCAATTTGGAGTTGGTAACTGCAGAAACAGAGGCAGCACTCTTTAATTTAGGGAGTTTTTTTCCTGACCTCTACTACAAAGATACTCAGCTTTGTAAATGTCCAGAAATTAGGAACATGAACACATTAAGATATAAATGCACACTGCTTTTCATTATGTTTGTGGTGATATTGGTTTAACTGTCCCTAGACAGACTAAGGAAAAGCATATAAACTGGTGCCACTATAATAAGTATTTTTATCAGATTTTACAGAAAAGCCACATAAAAAGCCACATGAAAAGCAGATGAAGGAATTGTTTTCTGGTATAAAAGTCATCAACCAGCTTGAAGCATTTGATAGACACAGTGTGGTATCTTATCAGTACTGATGTTTTCCTAGTTGCTGGGGTTATTCAGGCTTATATTTAAGCACTGTCAGCCATACACATAGGAGAGAGATGATGAAACATGAACAGATAGATACTCTGATTCAAATGATGCCATTTTTCATAAGAAAGTGGTGTTTGTCAGAGAAGTCGGGTGAATAAATTTTGCGTTTGTGTGGTGGGCAGCTGTGGTAAGCTTTTGTGTTAACTTCTTCAGCACTGTATATAAGTGTAAAAAGGGGGAAAGAGAAGTATAAGAGAAAATAAATAGCACAGCATCTGCTGGGATTAATTTCCTTTTTAATTGCTCCTTCTGCGGTTTTCACTTCATGATTAACTGTGATGGATTGCCCTAGTTGCTTTGTAAGATACCTGGCTGCGATATATTAGCTGTTTCATTAACAGTGGAGAGTGAGTTCAAGGAGGGAGGGTTCAGAACGAGAGGAATGGCCCCTTTAGAGGCTGGTGATGCTTGACCTGAGTTAAAAGATTATTAAAAAATAAGCACCCAAAAAAATAACACACCCCTCCTGAATGCACATGTTCCCTTGCAAGTGCCAGGTAAGTGTCACTGCCCACTGTCAGGCACAGAGAAGACTGCACCCAGCCTATCAGTGCCTGGTGGCTGGAGCAAGAGCTGGAGCTCTGTGGTCCCATATGGAACTTTTTTTTAATGTTCAGTGCTTAACATTAGAGATTTTTGAAATTGTTCCTTGATGAAGTGAGAAAATAAATAAGTATCTTGGAGCTAAGTACTGTGTCACCCTTCCTCCCAGCTTTCAAACATAGTGGAGTACCAGATATGGTCTGGGGATTACTTTGTTCTCAAAAGACTACATGTGCCACAGGAATTAAGAAACATGATGAGAGAAATGGCTTAATCTCTTAAAGCTTTTGAGACTTGAACTTGACATGAACGTAGGACAAATTTAGTTTACCAATACCACATGTACTTGGCCGTACTAAGTTTAACACCTATGAAAACTCTTAAAAAACAGATTCTTTTTTCCTCTTTCCTTTCCTAGCATAACGATGGAAAAAAATTCATGTCCCTAACTGTCAAAAATAAGTTGACAGAGTTTCTGCTGTGCATACAGCTATGATGGCGCTTTCTTGTCTGTCGAGACATCTTAAGTTTCAGAGTGAAACTATCTGCAGAAGAGATTCCCTTGCATTGTCTTCCCTTAAAGGCTTGACTTGAGCAGCTATGCCAACACAACCGTGTGCTCAAAGTTCAGCGTTAGTCCTATGAGACCCCCACTTAAGTTGTAAAGCCCTTGCATGCTTGCTGCTGTAGTAGCTTGCCAAATGGATTTAGTGCTTCTCTGTGTGTAGAAGTTAGTGCTCTGGGGACTGAGGTGTGAATTTGCTGTGCTCAAAACCCTGCTTTTCCTCCTTGATGATCTCTTTCCAGCAAAAGACAGAGTGTTTCAGTGAACAATTTGCCATTAATTCTTTGTATGTGTGTGTGTGCATGTGCGAAGTAACTTGATTTTCTCTGAAGGTTTAAAAGAGGTGACATGGTATCTCGTGGTACCATGAGTATCTGCACAGGGAGTTGGTGGGTAGGAGCTGAGGATCTGGACTTGAAAGCTGTAGCATGTTCTGCCTCTTTATGTAGACAAAGCCATAACTGGCTTTCATACATCTGAAACAGCAGGTGCACAATGAAGTAAACTTTGTCCTACCTTCAAAGTCAAGGGAAAGAGCAAGAGTAAACTTGCAGCATCAGGATTGTCAACAGTTTAAGTGCTTCTGAAGGCTGCCAGCATACAACTAAACCTGCCTGTTGGTGAACAGTGCAGAGTTCCACATAACTAAAAGCACAAGCGTAGTTAGACTTCAATATTTGTTTTTATTCTGATAAAAGCTTCATTTTGATCACTTCAGAAAGAAATACATTAAACATTTTGCCCTTTTCAGAGGCTGTCATGCAGATGCCAGTCCTTATATATATATTACCAACATGTGTGTACTTACTGTAAGAACCTAAAATCAAGAAAGATGGGTTTTTTCTCTGTTGCAGTACATGAGCAATGTAGACTCATGGTGTAAAGCCTGTGGTGAGGTCGAGCTTCCTTCAGAACTGCAAGATTTAGAAGATGCTATTCATCATCATCAAGGGATTTATGAGCATATTACCTTGGCTTACTCTGAGGTAGGTGTCTTGTTTGTTTCCTTAGCTTGCTGACTTCATAAAATGGTGCAATGTTAAGTTTGGATCATGAACTGGCATTGCTTGTAGCACAGTGCATTTGTTGGAAACTCAAGTGCCAGGCTTCTTTTTAAATTTAGTATACTGGAGTTTACTACTACTGTTCCACAAGTTAAGTGTTACATATTCCCCTTAACCTTCTGAAAGAAGTTTAAAAGGCAAGATGGAACCCTGTGTGGTACAAACAACCCATGCAGTGTACTAAGTATGTTTTAATTTACATTTACATATTACTGGCTTTTAATAGCGATATGATACTATTGTTTGAATACTTACTTGAAGGGAAGCTAACGGAGTATTCTTTGGGAAAGCATTCTGTTGGCATGGATTGTTTTACATGTGTTTTGAAAATCCATCTCTGAAATTGCCTCATGAAAAAGCCTTAACCATCAAAGGACATCACTTGACAAGCAGGAAAGTAATATACTTAGTTCTGCCAGCCTCAAAGACACTTACAGGAGCTGGTGTGCCTATGTAGTCAGCATTTGTAAGATTAGCTTTTCCTGTGCTTCTGCTCTAACCTTGGATTCTACACAGAATGAAGTAATATCCCCCAGTATATCTGATAATTGTGTTTACAGCTTAAGATAAAATGTTTATTCTGAAGGTGGCCTAGAAAGCAATGGCTAAAATGTCTGTTGTTTTTCTGCATATTTTGATTTGTCTCATGTGCTTTACTTAGCTGAAGTAAGAAATCAAATGGGTATTGACTTCACTATTAGCTAACAGGCATTTTCTGTATTTCCTGTTGAGCTTTTCTAGCTTTCTTTTTCCAAGGTTGTTCTTATCACAGGGTAAAACTATTCTTGCTGTTAAACTGATGTTACTCTGGATTAAATTCAACACTTTCCATTCTCGTGGAAGTTGCATAAAATTATGCATTTTATTAAATGGTAGTAAAAAATCATCAGTGGACATAGACTAGGTTAGGCCACAGCTTGCACTTTAATTCAATCCCACACCATGTGCTTTTAAAAGAATGGTTGTGATTTATACATTACATTAAAGATAAAACTCCTTTCTGGTGAACCAGCTCTATTACCAGCAACCGAATCATGTCTAGTCACATTTTGTTTAGCAGTAAAGGAGGTTAAGATTGGGGTGATGAGCAGTCCTATTGTTAGATATCAAAACTGGGGATTTTCTGAATACCTACCATCTTAGGGGCTGCATAAACTTCATTACCATGAGTCAGATATCCAGAATTCATGAGAGTTGTTGTTCTTTTGGGCAAGATACACACTGACATCCTCATTCCTGATATATGCCACCTTGCTATGTCAACTGATATGACATACTGAAACACACCTTCTTATTACTACACATAGCTGTTTTAACTCATTCATGTTTTCGAGGGAGGTTTATCTTCTTCCTTATAATGTCTCTTTACTGGGAGGACCCCTTGGTAGAACAAGGGGCAGAGATGTCGCTCATTTGTAGATGTATGTGAAGAAAGGCAATCTGGGGTTCATGGCCCCTGAGAGTGTGGCAAGGAATAAGAAGGCTCTCTAAAGTAATCATTGTGAAGCACTGAAGTTAAAATAGCGGGAGTGGGGTGGGTTGTGTTATTTGGTTTTGTTTGCTTTATATATATATTTTGTTTCTTTCTTTCTTTCTTTCTTTCTTTCATTTTTTCTTTTTTTTTTTTTTATCAGGGCTGACTGGATTAGAGCCTGGTGTTAGTGTAAATAAGTACTTTGGATTACCATGTTAAATACTGTTTTTTCCTGGTGACGTATAATGAGAATAAATTAGATGGGTAGATTATAGGATTACTCTGGCAAATACCTTGAAAATTTATTTCGGGTTTCAAAGCTGTAGCTTTTGACTTTGGGATAGCTAGAGATTTTAGCAAAATATTTATGGGTACTGCTCAAAAACACACCCCACCCCATTAGATTCCTTTCTTCTGATTTTTGGTCATTCCTTTTCCCCATCTGGTAAAGCAATAGTTTTGTCTTTAGTCACCGGAACTGGTACAGAAATAATAGTTGTATGTGCATGTACAAGCCGTGTTCCTACTCTAGATGAAAGGTTTTATTTTGCCTTATTTAAACATGTATTCCTTTTTGAAGATTGGAGTTGTCTTTCTGTGTAAAGTTATTGCAGAACTATTGCTGAACATTATTGGATGTTTGACTTCATTTCTCTTACAGCATGGAGCTTCTTTCATTTTGTCATGAACGAAAAGTGCAGGGGGAGAGAGAGGAACACTGGAAATTACAACACTTAGTCATTCACTTGAGATTGCAGTGTCTTGACAACATGACTTGGTTGCAAAGTAGAAGACTAATTTTGAGGAAAATACTTTTAGGACTAGACAGTCTTATTTTACTGAGGATGATTACTGTGTATTACTAGAAAAGTAACTTAGCTTACAAGCTTAGATAACTAGTGTGCTTGAAAATCCAATAGCTGTGCCTAAATGCAGTCAAATATATAAATGAAGTTATATATCTCACTGAAATCTTAAAGTAGCCATGCACTAGGAAGGAAGAAGACTTTACTCTGTTAACTCCAAAGAGGAAATGTGCATGTTTTTGTAAAGCTAATAAACTAATCAGACCAAGGGGCTGTCACAATTAATTATTTTTTCCCCTAAATTTCATGAACTCTGGATATATAATTGAAGTACATTATCTTGAAATATTTGGAAGACTTGTACTAGATAATTGCTTTGAATACAGAAAAAAACCCTCATTATTACTACTTTGGACTATACTCCTTCTGTCTGACTTGACTTTATAGGATCTGCTTTTCCAAGTGAGCTTCATTTTCTGTGTTGATAGTTATTACCAAAATGAAAAAGCTTAAATTGGAGCTGAGAAATAAACTCACTTGTAAACTAGTAATTAGAAAAACATTTTCATTTGAATCTGTTTGACTTCTGAATAGCCAATTTAAAATGTGCCTAGATTTAGTGAAAATTCTTGAAAGTAGCCACTGGGGGAAGGCTTTGACAAATATTCTGTTTCTCATATAGTGCTGATTTGATGGATTCAGACTATTGTTTACACCTTAGTCTTGTGGTTTTGTACTAATTTTTCCTGCCTGTTAGATGAGCTATTAGAAAACTTAACGGATAGCTGAATGATACTGAATTGTGACAGTTCTCTGACCTTCATGCTAGAAGTGACAAAAAGAATTGTTAAAACACCAGGAAGAGTGCTTTCAGGCTTAGCAAGTGCTAAATGTTAATAGTGACCAGATAACATAGGATTGTTGCTTCTTAATTAGCATGCAATGTAAATCTGAATATTTTTGCTGTGGTTTGACTCAGAGAAGACGATGATTACAAATGACTAATGTTTCTTGTCAGCCTCAGTAGGTAAACAGATTTTAGAAAAGAGTATCTTTCTGTGCTGCCTTGAAAGGTTTTAAGTGATTTAATAGGTTTAAGTTTGCTATAAAATAGTTTGCCTTTGGCTTAATAGTAACAGCAATGATTCAGAAGTAAATTGTGTCAGATCAAATAATTTTCTAAGCTCATATCTATTGGCCTAAATATAGTCATCACATTAATATTAATGTATAGAAAGTAACCTCTGTCACCATCTTTACAGCAAATGATAAGAGAGATAGTCCTGGAAGGATGATTCCTGACGAATACTTAATTTTAGGTGCTTTGTTGACTAGAGAAAGAGCTGAAGAATATTGTTTGTAATGACTTGTTGCCTTTTTTTTTTTTTTTAATCACCTTAAAGGAAAAGCAATCCGAAGATAATTGAAAAATTGAAGGATTGGCTGTTACTTAGAAGAGTGTTACTTATTAAAATTATCTTACATAGAGGAGAATATACTTTTTTTTTTTTTCCTACAGCAACTGCATGTAAACACACCTGGAATAAAAAGATCTTCAGCGCTGCTCTCCCAAGATTTTAAAGACATCTAAAATGGGGAATGAAATAATAGTCTAATGAGATAATAGACTAGTCTAACGAGAAATAATAGTCTAACAGGCTTCCCAGGGAAGTGGTTGAATCATCATCCCTGGATGTACTTAAAAACCTTCCAGATAGGGTGCTCAGGGATATGGTGTAGATGTGGCCTGGTAGAGTTAGATAATGGTTGGACTTGGTGATCTTAAAGGTCCTTTCCAACCATAGTGATTCTGTGAGATTTTGGCAAGACAAGTAATTCTTCTTCCTTTCTGGTGGTCAGGTGAGCCAAGATGGAAAGTCACTGCTTGACAAACTTCAGAGGCCTTTGACTCCTGGGAGTTCTGATTCTCTCACGGCTTCTGCCAACTACTCAAAAGCAGTTCATCATGTTCTGGATGTCATCCATGAGGTACTGCACCACCAGCGCCAACTGGAAAATATCTGGCAGCATCGAAAGGTCCGCTTACACCAGCGGCTTCAGCTGTGTGTTTTTCAACAGGATGTTCAACAGGTTGGGTTTATTTCTTGTTGTCTAAATGCCTTTGTACTCTGTCAGACTGTGATTTGAAACTGGTTGCTTTGACAGGTTAAAATTAAATTCTTTATTTACTTGGTCAGATAGGGTGAAAAAGGTGTTTATTATAGGTGCTTTTCTGAACTTGTGCTGGAAGCTGATATCAAGTTCTAGGTCAGAATCAGGACTCAAAACTTCAGACTTGTGTGAGTAACATGTAAAAAAAGACCAGTGTTATTCTGTAGTAATTTTTTTGTTGTTTCAGATCTTCAGTGATGCTTAATTGATTTAATCATGTTTCTTTAAAACCTGAGAGTAGTCTACTAAAAAGGTATAAAAATTACAGATAAGAGTAGTTTCTGACAGTGGTTATTAGCTACCATATTTTTATTATGATGACATCCATAAAAGTTAGTAGTTCAGTACAGGCATTAATATCTCTGACACGATTTTAGCTTGAAAAGGTAAAGCTGTATGGAATTCCTTTTTTGCTAGATTTTTAATAAACAGGTAATGTGTCCCTTAGGCTGCAATTGACAAACACATGAGTAATTTATCCCATAATAGCTTATTTTCATGGAAAAGTAAAGATGGACAGTATTTGTTGATCATCTTCTTTCATTTCAGAGTAAAGATGTTCACAAATAAAGATATTCCAAATTGGGTATTTAGTTATATGCGGTTATATGTTCCAGTTAAACTACTCTTGTTTCTTCCAAATGAATTGCACTTAAAGCCAAATTTCTTGTATTTACCTGTTTCAAGAGGATGCTGGATGTGAGCAGTTGAGAGTGAAATAACCTAGTTTCCATAATTTACAGTGGTTGAAAGAGGTACTTAATTCAGACAGGTGGGGGGGAGAGTGAGCAATCTTGGTAGCTCAACTTTCTTCTCTAATGCAGTGCCTATCTCTTCATCTAAGTTAAAGAAAACAACTTTAAAAATACGCAGTAAATTAAGTGTCAAGTTATTAAAACTTAATTAAACCTAAATTGTGATAAAAAAGAGGCATATATTGGAAGGCATGCAATTACTCAATTTCTCAACACTCAGATGTGACAAAGAATGCAGAAAAATGTTAATTGACAGAAAAGGTGAAAGAAAGCACTCGATGTTATGAATGGCCATGAAGGGAGTAGAAAGCCAAAATAAAAACACTGTTATGCCATTGTTGATTACTACATAAACAGTAGCTAGTCAGGAGAGTCCAATACTGGTCCTTGCCTGAGGTTCAGTGAAGGACACTTGTAAAAACTGATGAGGTACAGTCCAGAAATGAACCACTTCTTAAACTTAAAAGGCTTCATAAGAAATCTGGAGAAACTGAAGTTTACACAATGGTTTGATTCTCATAAGGAAAACTGTAGGTCCTTGCTGTGGTATCCTAGTGCCAACATGTGCAGATTAGATCCTGGAACTTTCTCCTCTATTCTGGATTCAATTCAAATAGGACCTACTTAGGTAACCGAGACAAGGTGATCTCCTGAGTTTATTTGCTGGACACATAATTCAAGTTTCAGGCCTGTAGGCCAGGCTTCAACCAAGTTATTTCCTGGGGGAAGGTGTTCATTAAGTGCTATGGAGAGTCTTATTGTCCTGTTCTACTCTTTACCTTTAGTATCCTGGGGTGCCATAAAATGTTTGTAGGATATTCTCATTTTGTGATCCTTTCTACATCATGGCTGTCAGAGTGGAGGAAGTAGCTCTGAGACTGTTCTTTGAAGTAGGCAGATAACCCTTCATTAGGCTCAAGTCGTAGAAGCACCACCAGGTTCTTCAGCAAGAAGCTGGATTTTCTTCTCTGTATGAGACCAGTCAGCCCTTGGAACTGGCACACTTATCATGAAGTAGTCACAACTTTATAAACTACAGACAGCTTTACTTATTTTCTGTAATTTTTAGTGTCAAGAACGTGTTATCCAAGATGTCTGTGGATTGTGAGTATGCCAGAAATTTTTCAATATGAACCAGTTGGCTCGAAAGAGTTAATCCATCTAGGCTCATTATTCAGTACATGCCTTACTTTCTGGTCAGAGAAATTTATTTCTTCCTGTTGATTCCTCTGGTTTCTCTATATGCTTGCAAGGCAGATCTTCCACTAAGATACCAAGACATCCTCTTGACAATTTGAAGCTGCAGCCTTTGGTGCTAATATACATCATTATCAAACACTTAAGATTTCAAACGTGATCTTGTGTACAGAGATACAGCCCCTGCTTGCCATGTTCCTAAGCCCTTCCCTTCATATCCTGTAGTTATCACTGCCAGAGGCTGGATTGTCCGTTGGTTTATCCTTGTAATAGCCATTAACATCCACATGGGAGGCTTCCAAAATGTAGCATGTGGAAGTACAGCTCTTTATTATGTTACTTTAACTTCCAAATATTAGTGTATTCTGGGCACTGCCTTCTGAATCATAATGTGAAATATGGTTAATGTTCCCTTTTGTAATACGACTTTTCACGCTTACATTTCAGTTCAGATCATGCTGTAAGACAATGATAATTCAAAATCTATACCAGACAAATTAATCTAATGGCCAGAAGCAGATGCCTTAAAGATAATGGCAACCACATGATGGTATTGCCCTGGAACAGCCTTGCTTTGGCAGATTGTAGCTCTCTCAGCTTTGAAAATCCATCTGGGAAAAAAACAAAACAAAACAAAACAAAAGTAAAGCAAACCCTAAACAACCTTATCAGATCATCTAATTTGTCTGAGAAATGTTAGTTCTTTGATTGAATGGTTATTGGCACCATTCAGTGCATGAAATCTCTCAGGTTTTTAGTATTCGTTAAATTTATAGCCAAGATAATTTTGAAATTGTTTATGTAGATCTCCAAAGCAACTTTCTAAAATAGTTTTCATTTGCACATTCTCTCGGGCTTCTTAGTCTTTGTTCAAACCTTAAAAAATTAAGATTATCTAGCATGGTTTGGAAACTAGCATGAAAACCTTTCTAAAATTACTGTCAGTAAAGTTAAATGTGGGATTTTTCTTGTCAAAATCGACTAAGTGTGTCTCTCTTCTACTGTTTAGGGTTAAATTGCACATAATGGCAAGCAACCAAGTCCATTGTAAGTGAATCTATAACT